TTATATATATATATATATATATATATATATATATATATAATATTATATAACAAATGAAAAATTTATTAAAAATATTTAAAAGAATTAAAAAATTTAAGAATTTAAATTCTTATAAATAATAAATATATAATTAGAATTTTTTTCAAATACTAAAAAATATAAAAGAGATACCTGAACGGTTTTCATCTGCCGTGTTTCTAAATTCGTTAATTCTAATAAAGGTACTATGGATGGTCGTCCGTGAGCACATTGAGTAGGAATTTTCGTTTCATTTAATAATTTCAAAAGCCACTTACATTCTTTTAATGTTAGTGAATGTCCAAATTTTATAGCTCCTAAAATACTCAGCATAAATAATAATGATAATGTATTTGTTGATATTAAATAATATGTATGAATGAAAAATATATATTCTATTAACTTTTCTATTTATACTTTATATATTATATATGATGTTTGTTAAATTGTTTATGAAATTAAAAATATATATAAATATACAAAAGGAAAAAAGAGCATACCTTACCATGGCAAGCTTTCATTACAATTGCATTATGTATCGTAACTGGTAAATCATTAATTTGATAATTTATATATTTTGTAGAATTTTGTATTAATTCGTTTAAAAGATTTTGTATATTTAACTTTAATTTCAATTCACTATAATTGTTTTTTTTTAAATATTCTGGCACTGCTCGTATTATTATATTGTTGTTATTTAATATACTAAAAGTTATACCAAATCTTTTTAATATTTTATGATTAGATGAAAGTAAATTGCAACTCTTTGCAGATAGTTGTATAACTACAGGATTTTTCAATTTGATAGAAAATAGTTGGTTTCTTATTTGTGATTTGTATTCTAAAAATATATTAATTTTTTATAATTAATATATCTTAATTATATTTCTTAATATTTTCTTTTATACGAAATTATATTATATTATAAATATTAAAATTAGTAAAAATTATATCATAAATAAACAATAGTAAAATCATATTATAAATTTTTACCATGAAGTAACTGTTCATATCTTATCCTTTCATGAACTGCATGTTGATCTATTAATAAAAGCATCTTTATATTATTTTGAATTATTAATCCTACTATTAGTTCATTGTTCAACTGTCCTAATATCTGAAAAACATAAATAATGTAGTTTATATCTATATGCATTTCTTATTGCAATTTTTATTTCTTATTTCAACTTACTTTAATAAGTTTTAACAATTTTTTATTTATTTTAAATTCACGAAATCGCTCATTTTTACATAGACGCACATGAATTTCTTGATGAGGTAATATATCTGAAACTTAGAATATAAATTAGATTTTATAATTTAATTCCTATAATTGAAAAAATAATTTCAAAAAATTTAATTTACTTTGCAATCCAGATTTTATTTTAATTGAGTATAAATTTTCATTATATGCATTTAAAATATTAGTTTGTATTAATTTTGTATCTTTACGCAATAGTTTATGTAATTTTTCTGGTAAAAAATCAAAATGTTTATAAAATCTTAAAGAATTATTTTCACATTGTTTCAAATTTTTAGAATCAGACCAATTAGACCACTCAGAAAGTGTTAATTGAATGTTTTTTGTATTAATATTTTGCATAGCAGATACATGTACTTGCATTAAATGATCTGTAATTAGCTGTATTTCATTGTTTTTAGATTTTTGTTTATTAGCTTTATTGCTACATTTTAAATCGTTAACAGACAAAGGTTTAATGTCTTTTATAAAAATATTTATTATCTTGTTTTTAATACTTTGTAATAAATTATATATATTAGAAAGCATTAAAGTTCTTTTTCCATTCTCTATAATAAAAATATATTCAGTACATATAATGAATAATAGAATAAAAATTGTCTCTTTCTCTGTTATTTGTTTTTTGAAGAATTTTAATGTATTGATAAAAATAGTAGAAATTATTTGCAAAATTAAAGGACAATGAACAAGTTTATTATTTATAAAAATATGCTGAGAGGCAGTAAAATTAGAATTTGATATTCCAATATATGCACAGAATTTGATATCAGATTTTTGTATAGATTTTATAAACCATACTTTATGAAAGATCACTTTTTTATTATATAAGAATTTAAAAATGTTTATTGGATTATGTGGCTTAGTAATTATCATGGTAATTTTTTTAATTTTATCATCTCTAATAGTGAATGAAGTCTGCAAATATAATATAATATAATATAATATATATATTTCTATACATATATATTACATATATATATATATATATATATATATATGTATGTATATATGTACAATGAAAAATAAAATATAATAAATATAAAAATATAATTTATTATTAAGCATTTATTTACTTGGGGATTGGCTATAGCAATGTTTTCAATTAAATAATACATAAAAGTTATATTCCATTTGCTTAAGGATAATTCATGAAATCCATAAATAGTTATTGTGGTACCTTGAGAAGGTCTTCTTTCAATTCTGACAATGTTTGATTTCTGATATATTTTAAAAATCTGTTAATAAAAAAAATTTTCAAAAAATTTTTAAATTTTGTGAAATGATATTTAAAATCTATTTTTAAAAATATTACCTTCATATATGTTTTAGATGAATTATAACATCTAGAAGTTATCATCATTGCATTAGACAATCTACGAATATTAATAAGTGTCTGTTTTTTCCAGTTATGAATACCATATCCAATTGGATAATTACAATAATTTTTGTTATTATATTCTGCAATTGTTTTTAATTCTACTTTCGGTATTCCTATACCATTATCTATTACTTGAATTTTACGTTCTTCACTATGAAATCGTATTGCAATTGATGTAGCATTGACGTGTAAAGAATTTGATACCTAATAAAAAAAAATATAAAAACATTTTAAACATTTTTTATAATTTATGAAAGGAAAAATAAAATACATTAATTTAAATAATATTATGTACCAATTCTACGACACAATCGGCAATATTCGTTACATTGATTGCATTGATTGACGTTTCCATTTTAACATTTAAAACAATAATATTTTTGTTTTTCTTTATTAATGATCAAGTAATGAACTATTTAAATTATATAAAATATATTATTCACAAAAATGTAGATATAATGATTAATCATTAAAATTTCTCTTTTATATGAGAAATTTATAAATTTTAATCTCACGAATTTAAAATTTAAATTTTGAAATCGAACGCGCATAATTTTAATCGATATAAGTATGTCGACAAATGTGAATGTAGCACATGTATATAATATATAATATAATAAATATATATGAAGTTGCATAAAGATAATTAAATATTTAATTCATTCATAGTAAATCAAAGTTATATAAAGATATATTATAAGATTGTTTATTATTTTATATTATATTTTAAGATTGTTTGTTTGTTATTTATTATAATCATCTTTATCTGTGTTGTACTATTCATATTTGTCGACATATTTATATTGGTCAAAATTATGCAAGTTCGATTTCGAAATTTAAATTCTTGCATATATATTGTGAGATTAAAATTTATAAATTTTTAAAACAATTTCTTTTAATTATATATCATCATATTTGTAAAAATTTTCTTTACGGCTTTGTTAATATATTATTAATAAAATTGGCCAATCATGGAACGCAATTAGTAGTATTGAATAGCACTACAAATTAAATACAAACAAGTCTAAACAAGAAATTAGAAGGAAAAAATTATATCGAATTAGACTTTATTCAAGAATAATGAATACTTTAATAATTGTTATTATATAGGATGAAAATCGAATTTATTCATCATTCAAAATGAGTAATATCAAATTGTAATATAAACAAATAAATATAAAACATTTTATAAGCTTAAAAGTATTATTTTAAAAGTAGAAAATGTATAGAATGCGTATTAATTAATTTAATATGGCGTTTTTTGGATATATTAATAATAATGTCATGTTAATAATATCGTTAATAAATATGGAAAAAAATTTCATATTAAAATTGATAAGACAAGATTGTTTGAAGTAGTTTGAAAAACATAAAAATTTTGAGAAGGAAAAATAATGAATTTTGTATGTATCATTTTCAATATGTTCGATAGTATGATGCGTTAATTATTAAAAATAATTGATAAAAAAATAATTTCACGTTAAAATTGAAAATACAAAAAACTTGTCCAAAGTTTTATCTTTTTAAATGCAAATTTAAAAATAAGTAACTTAAAATCATAATTTTAAACAAAAAATAATTAATAAATTTTCCTAATAAATGTATTCTTTACTTTACGTGACTATGACTTCGAATACCTCCTTGCACGTTCTGTTATGCTAGTAACAAATCGGAGCTTTGAATGTTCAAACACGAGATGGCGCTGATCTCGCAAACTTTTTAAATTGCTCTAACTTATCGGTAAAAAAAATTATCTAATTTTTTAAAAATTGAAAATTGGTTAGAATCAAACAAAGGAATAATAATTTAAATATAATAATTTAGAAATTAAATAGGAATAAAGGAAAAAGAAAATAATGAAGAAAAAAAAATGAACATTAACATTCATGCACTATATGTGTTTTATGTGATTTTTTAGATATAAATAAGTTTTTTAAATATTAGAAGAGTTCATATTTATATATATATATAAATTAGTTTTTCTTTATATGTCGTATTATTTAAATATTTTTTAATTTTGTATTTTTTCTGTATTTATATAAGTTTTTGAAAATACGAATATTTAACATTTAAAGGATTGAATTGTTAAAATAAATTTGTTAAGATTCGACAATTTTTGAGAATAATGTCAGATTTCTGGAATTTTGGCAATTGAAAATGATGCCAGATTTTTTGAATTTTCGAGAATTATACATTTTGATTTAAAATTTTTTTTTGTTAAAAAATTATTTACATTTTCATTGTTTATTACGAAAATTTTTAAAAATTTGTAAGAATATTATTATCGATCTTAAAATTTCCTAATATTTTCAAAAACAAGAATTTTTATAAAATTTTATAATAGTTATTTATGAAATACTTGTTATTTTCATATTTACTTAATCCAGCCAGCTTTATTTTACATTTTGAATCGTCTTTTCATTATTTCTAATTTTGGAAATATTTATCTTTTGCATATTTAGAAAATAGCATATAAATCCTGTTATTTCCTTCTTAGTATTGAACGTTTTTCTATAATTTTTTACTCTCAAAAAATATACCAAATGTTTTACATAAATTTATATGTAGAATATTTTTCTTAATTTTCATAGTATTAAAAAATGTTTTAAGTAAAAGTTGAACAAACTACATGAAAAATCATATATTATTATTATTTTTTTTGTAAATAGATATATGTATATAAATATAAATATATAAATATAATATATAAATATAAATAAATATAAATATATATAAATTTTTAAAAACGAAAATTTACTTAAAATTATTTATTTTTCTTTAAACTTTTTACAAATAAAGAAATTTAATTTAATTTAATTTAAAATTGATTGAATTAAATTTTAATATAAAAGTAGTATCGATGTAGTAAAAATTAACTTTTATTAATCTTGGAAAATATTATTAAATAAAACAATTTCTTTTTTCAATATATTTATAAAAATTTTTTTATTTTATTGTAACTACTGAAAAATTTTCACATGTCACTTTTGTAACTTCACATTATTATTGAAAACGATGATCGAATGCTTTACATACGAAGTGTAAAGTGTTCAGTTTTACATAATTTTTGTTTTCTGCTTAATTTGACTAAGAGTATTCATACAATTTACGAAAGGTCGCGTGCAATGAAAGAAAGATTTATGCAAATTATAACGTCATACATATTTCTTCATAGATATTTGCATGTAATCGAAATACATATTTATAATAGTTTTGTTAATTTATTTGATCTTTGCTTGTGAGTTACGGTTTTTGAAACTTTTACACTGTTAAGCACATGTTGGTAATCCATAAACGTGTCTAAATATTCCGTTACACATAGAAAACTTAACAATCGTGACGGATGTGTCAAGATCTTATATCTTGCGATTAACAAAATTTTTTTTTCGTAATCAATCATCGATCTACGAGTCTTTCTTTTATAATCTTTGTTATAGATATCGTTCAATCATACTTTACGTTTCATTATCGTCTCTCT